GTTTGAGACTTGGAATTACTCGTTGAGTGTTTCGAAGTCGACGGCATATTGACGAAGATTGAGGGTAAGAATATAAAGTTTGAAATTACCAAGCGAGACAAGGAATACTCTGAAGAATAGAACAAAAAATTCGAATGATACGGAAATAATAATGATTGAAGCTGATAACTCTAAAATAAAATGAAATTCCTGTAAATCTACATAGTATTTATATCAGAGTGTAAATCCAACATCTTCTACTAGAAGAAAGTCCTATACCCCAAACGCGGCTACAGCTTGCAAGTCTGGGTTTTTGTTTTGGTCAGGAATGGTCGCATTTGTTAGACTTTTACAGGCAATCACTATCTCTCACAAAACAATATGAATTTATTCGGGATATTGTAAAAATTTTACATCTAATTATCACTGGATTATCAATCATACAGAGCAGTGTAAGTATATTAAATAGCTTACAGAAATTAGGAAAAGACAAATCTCGAGTACTTTTGATTCGTTCTAAAACACATTTTGACATTAGCGTTGTAATTGGATTTGGATTTGCCATCCAATGACTTTCCCTTTGGTCATTGTGATTTGAAGGCAAAGCGATGTGGTTCGTTCTATTGTCAAATTACGCGCTTCGCTATGCCGATTGATTAGGCAACAAAATAAATCGGAAGTAAGCTGATGCCTAAATCCTATTAAAATTGTAGCCTAATTTCGAGTGTAGGATGAAAGCCTCTTTATCCTTAATACTCTCAAAGATTATTGATTGTCTCCTTTTCATTTTGATCCTAAGGCTCAGTGTACATTTCTCCTACAACGATTCTTTCTAAGCACCGCATCACATATCCTAGGCAATTTCCAACCCAATATCAATACTTGAAATGAGGCTATTTCAGTTGTTACTGTATTATATTTTTCTGATGGTAAATGAAATAGCCAACAAATGCAAAAAACGTCATTTCTCTAGCTCAATTAACTGCACCAAGTATTATGCATGAATGTTTGATGTACAGCTTGTATATCTCAAGGATTCTTTCCAAGCTAAGCCAGTTTAAATTTATTAAGTCTCTGGCTAAGGGCAAGCATGATTTAGCAAGTTCCAGCTTATGTTCATGACCAAAAAGGTCGATCGATGTCAAATGTAAGCTTAGAAATGTGGTGTTCGATATTCTTCCCTCGATGTCGTGATCTCGCCCCAAGTCCCTAAGTCAAGCTAATCAAATTAGAGTCTCTTCCCTTCACCGGCCAAAATCTCAGCTTCACCGTTCAGGGATAGCTCCAAGTCGTCATGTTCCATTTCCTTTTTAGCCCTCAATCTAGCTTCTTCGTCTTCGAGATACTCTTTATACCATGTCGGAATCTGATCATCATAGAAGATCCAACCCTTTAGTTCTTGCACACGCCTCTTGATGGTACGTGAGTTATATTCTATCTTGTAGCCACTAGAACCGCATGTTCGCAGAGGAATCGGCCGTTCATTCTCAAAAATTTTTAAGAGTTGAGTATGAGTCAAGTCGTCCAGCTTCTGTTTTACTAATGCTTAGAACGAGAAATGGTCGTGAAACTCCATCATTGTTGTATATTCATAACGAAGGATGCAGCTGCGAACAATATTCATATCCACAAAATACTGCGTATTGGATAGACCAAGTTGTGCGACTTTGAAATAAGAATTTTGTAAAAGATACGAAGGTTGGCCACCGTTTACATCATTCGTATCTAGTCCGATAGTCCATGTATACGAATCGTCAATTTTTCTGCAGCTGGCCAAGTTCAAGGAGTGTAAATTCTTTGGATCGCCAATGGCTGCCGCTTTCTCCCATTCCCATCCTCTTGATCTGTATTTTGCTTCAGGATCTTCGTGGTTGGCGTTAGCTTGGAGATAGCGATTATCGCCCCCATTTACCTCATAAGCTGTTCTCTTGATGAAATTCATATTAGGGAAAAGTGAATATGCGAAATCCCATGAGATGACGTTCATGAGAAGTGATGTACCAAAGCCCTGGATGATTGCTTGGAAAGGAACGTTGGTTGTGTAGATTATTTGGATCTGAATCGACTTCTTCTTGATCGAGCTTGTCCTGATGTATGATTCAACCTGAATGCATGTAAGCATATATAATGTATGATTTGGTATATGAAATACCTGTGAAATATACTTTAATTTGCCCACATAATTCATTAAGCCACCGTTTGCTTCCGTTTTCGACCCTTGTAGTTTGTAGCCTTCATGCTTGATCAAGTATTTACCTATCTGCTCAGGATCCCTGAAGTTGTTCGCACCTTGTACATAAATATCCAGATCAGAGTCAAGCCAGAATCTCCTCTCGAAGAATTGTAAAGCGAAGCTTCCAGATATGAGGGCATCGTGCTTAGCCAACCTTGATCGAAAGCCGACAGGGTCCTGAACAAAGCGGGTAAGTTGGCGATTGATATTCCACTGGGTTTTGAAGAGCGAGTTAAATGACGGAGAAAGTTGTGTGGTGGTCAATCGGAAAAGCATGATATCATTGGGATCAAGATGGGCACAAACATTATGGAAGATGGGGTAGCATAGGAGAATATCTTTCCAGTCCAAATGTCGATTTGATCCGGACATTTTATACGAAGTACGATACCACGAGGCTTTTTAGATCTGGTACAACGTCTTAATTGAAAGTGGTGATTTCTGAAAGTTTTTGTAGAGAATAGCTTGATAACGGGAGGCTGATCTTTATCCACCAACAGTTGCCCAAGAAACATTATAGGCTGAAACCAATAGTTGGGCCCCACACCAAGGCCGATTTGGACAATGTACTAAAGATAAGCTCGATAAGAACTTCTTATTATGGAAAGACTAGATTAGCTGAGGTATGATTCTAGCAGCATGGTGTCAACCTAGACTATAATGCGATATATGATCGAATTGAACATGGAGCTAGATCTCTTACAACGTAAAGCTACATACACCCGCTACTATATTGCTAGCATAGGAAGTTCAAAGTACAATTACAACCTAGCATAGTATCATTTTTACATAAGCAAACCTTGATTGAACCTCTCAGTTTCTAGCCACCTCTCTTTTGAGCCATCTTTCACCATCAAAATTAACAAAAAAAAACTTTTTTTATTTATAGATAGAATTTATTAAGAGTTTATATACAAATAATTCAAAACATCTTAAGCTTATTCAGATTTTTTCAGATTTTTCAGATTTTTTTAAATAGAAATCGTATGAGATTCTATAACGTAGTTTATTATATATATACTATATCGGTATGTACACTACTCATTTTACATATAAAATTCGTTTATACGTAACGTGTACTTTCTTTATTTATTAATATAATTTAATTTTTTCAAAAAAATATTATAATTATTATATAAATAATAAGAATTTTTAATCAATTATTAGAAATTTGATTTATGTTACGACGGGTAATATTGGATCATGTGATAAGTGTTATGTAATAGGACGTTGGAGTCTTTGGAGCTTGGGATTCAAGGAGCCAGGAGCTTTTGGAGCTTAGAATCCAAGGGATCCAAGTAGGACAGAACTATGGGTTCTGTAGAGCAAGAAGGTCTATATAAAGAGAATGGGTCTCATTATAATACAGAGCTTCGTGCTCAAGAATAATCATTAGTTTTATTATTATAGTTACGAGAATTACAATCAATTACAACCTTATTGAATTCCTATTTGAAGTTTAGTCTAAACCATCTCGAGAGATCTCTAGACACTTTCACATGGCCCTAGAGGCAGCTCCTGTAACAATTTAATATAATAGTTATTATAAAAAAAGTTTTTTTGTAACGAAAATCGTGACAATTCCAATCTTTTTCTAAAATATAATGAAAATATTTATATAAAAATTAAATTTCTGAATATTTAAATTATACCTTTCATCATATGTTTTGTTCTTTTTCAAAAATAATGATTAATTATTAAAATATAAATATTAAAAAAACCCTGATTTTAGTATAATTTTAAAGTAGTACACGTACTAATATAATACACGTACTAATAAACTACGTTAATAAGTATACTAAATTACTTACTAATATTCTACTAATTGAGAGATATATTGATGACTAATACATATATAATTATATTATTATAAAATCATATTATTACTCAACGAAATAATTAAAGTGTTACAACAGACATCACATGACACATTCGCATGTCACGTGAGGGAGCCTTGGGGAGCCACGGGCTCCAGGAGCATACGGATCCCAGGGGCTCCAGAGGACGAAGGTCTATATAACAGAATGAGTTTCATTATAATATAGAGCTTCGTGCTCAAGAACAGTCATTAGTTTCATTACTATAGTTACGAGAATTGCAACCAGTTACAACCTTATTGAATTCCTACTTGAAGTCTAGTTTAAACCACCTCGAGAGATCTCTAGACACTTCCACGTGACCCTAGAGGCAGCTCCCGTAACATAAAGATATATATTATAAACTAAAAACATTTATAACTTTAACATTTTCTAATAAAATAAGCTATAATTAATATATATAATTGATTAATATAATGAAATAATTATATTATATAAAAGTTTATAAGAAATCAAAGTCAAAATAATTGAAATAAAAGTAATTAAATCTATTAAATTAATTCAAAAAGTACTTATTTTTTAAATACTTTTCGATCTTTAATAATTCAATTGATTTAATACTTTTAATATCGAAGTTTGAACATATTATTAAAAAAACCTTACTTTTTAAGATATATATTTTTATAGAAATTTATTTATAAATGAAAATGTTATTTATATTTGAAATAAAAAAACAATTTTTAGAGGAATAAATTCGCTTATTTTCAAAAATATTAAGAATATTAAATATAAAAATTAGAAGATTTAGTTCACTTATTTAATTTCAATCTTTAATAACTTTTCTATTTTAAGGAATTAAATAGAAATCTTTTTGTTTAATGAAATATTATCTAATTTTTAATTAACTCCAAAATATAAAAACAAAAGATTCAAAATTAATAGAGATATATAGAATCTGAAATCTAGTATGAAATTATACTTATTTTTATTAACTTATTAACTTTAATATACTACTCCTCTTTTATTTTTCATTTAAATTCTATTAAACTTTATTTATATATATGTTACAGGAGCTGTCTCTAGGGTCACGTGGAAGTGTCTAGAGATCTTTTGAAATGGTTTAGATTAGACTTCAAGTAGGAATTCAATAAGGTTATAATTGATTACAATTCTCATAACTATAATAATAAAACTAATAATTGTTCTTGAGTATAAAGCTCTACATTATAATGAAACCCATTCCCTATATAGACCTTCGTATTGAAATCGACCAACAAGTCGATTGGCTTTTGATTATATAACACTTGTCCTATGATTCCTATTATTCTAGCTTGTCTTTTTTGTTCTAGAGCTAATTCCCTAGGACATTACTAATCCTAGTGAAGCCTTTCTTGCTTACTGTGTTCTGTCTGTCCTAGGACCTACTGTCCTGGGAACTATGTTCTAGGTTTCTAGGGTATCCTATGACTAACGTAAGTCATGGCGTAATGCGTCTAATGGCGTAATGCGTCTAATTGTGGGGGACCACCCCATCAAAAAAGCAACAATTCAACAATGGTCCGTCGAAAAAGTTTAAAAGTGCAGGAAATGGAATCTCGACTTTCTGAAGCAGTATTAGGAGTTCAAAATGGAAAGTATAAGTCTTCATATGAAGCTGCAAAAGAACTGGGGCTTTCTAAAGATACTGTGACGCGACGCGTCAAAGGGGGTTCGTCGCGTTCTGAAGCACGTCAATCGCAACAGAAACTTTCTGCTGTACAAGAGAATGTACTTCTTAAGTGGATAAAGCAATTGACAATTAGCGGCTATTCACCAGGCCATCAGTTGTTAAAAGAATTGGCTGAGGAGTTACGTTCAAAACGGACTTATAATTTGGATTGCCCCTCATTTGACTCCCTTGAACTCCCACCACAACACCTTCTTGGTCATGAATGGGTTCCACGATTTATCAAACGACATCCTCATCTTACAGTTGTTATTGGCCGTCGAATTGAATCTGTAAGAATGGATGGTGCAACCAGGGAAACATGTAGTACTTGGTTTGACGCGTATCAAAAAGCGATTCAGGATTATGGAATTGAGAAGAAAGACGAATATAATATGGATGAATCTGGACATTCAATTGGGACAATGGAATCAACTCGAATTATTATCGATTCTACACTTCGTACAAAACATCAAGCACATCCAGGCCGTCAAGAGTGGATTTCAATGGTAGAGTGTATTTGTGCGGATGGATCCATTCTTCCACCACTCGGGATTTTTAAAGGTAAAAATGTCCTTCAAAATTGGATTCCGAAGGAAGTTCTTGGTAGCTGGTTCTTTTCAGCAAATACAAAGGGCTGGACAAGCAATCTTCATGGATTAGAATGGCTAAAACGCGTTTTCGAACCTGCAACTCGTGCAAAAGCAGGTGGCAAATATCGGCTTCTCATCTGCGATGGCCACGATTCTCATATTAGTGGAAGCTTTATAGCTCACTGCCTTCAAAATCGAATTGTACTTCTTATACTTCCTCCTCATACCTCGCATTTGCTTCAGCCACTTGATGTTGCGGTTTTCGGTCCATTGAAAAAACGGCTCACCGCAGCACTTTCTGATTTGAATCAAGCTCAACTTGTACGAATACAAAAGATTGAATGGATGGAGGCATATATTAAAGCTCGAGCCGACGTATGCCATCATCAAAATATCGAATCGGCATGGCGGGGAGCTGGGTTACATCCATTTAATCCACAGAGAGTGTTCCGTACACTGGGTCGAGAGTTTACCCCCGAAGTCGAAATATCCAAAGAACCAACCCAATTTGATATTTTTAACCAAGTCTTCGTCAATAGCTCACCCCCGGATGTAGCAATCTTACAAACAGCAAATAACCTTTTAAATTCAACAATTGAAAATGATACGACTCTTTCAACCCCGGTTCGTCAATACATTCGAAAATTGACGATTGGGAGTGAGCAACTTCGAGCTCAAAGTATTGTTCACCAACACGATGCGAATAATTTACGAGCTATTATTAAGAAACGTACGATACGTAAGAAAGGAAAGAGACTAGTTTTGAAGGGTCATTTTCATATTTCTACGCAAGAATTATGTGATGCAGTAGTGGAAGTCGAAAAAGCTACTAAGGTACAGACAATGAAAAAAGGAAAAGGGAAAGGGAAAGTAATTGAATATGAAACTGAAACTGAAGAGGATATTGGAGAAGAAGTTGAAGATGAATCTGAAAGTGATACTGGAGATTGTATTATAGTTGATTGTTGAGTAATTGAGATTTTAATAGAGTGGTTCCCCGCAATTAGACGCATTACGCCATTAGACGCATTACGCCATGACTTACGTTAATACTATATACATGCCTGAGGTGTCTCTTGAGTGCCTAGTGTCCCCCGTGTTACAACGGATTAGTAACAGGCTGTAGAATCACTGACTTATAGGCTATAATGGTATTATAGGCCTCAGTGATTCAGCTGCAGTATACCGGGGGACACTAGGCACCCAAGGAAAGCCTCAGGCATGTATATAGTATTAGTTATAGAATACACTGAATCA